CACGGGGGCAGGCGGCAGCTGGCCGGGCCGGTGCGTCTGTGGTAACCGCCCGTTACTAGCACACCCCTTGTGATAGTACTCCATACCCCTGTCACCACGGTCGAGTTACTCCGAGCCTCGTTTTCTCCAACCTGCCGGGTTGAAGTAACTTTATTAAGGTTTACTCAGTGTTGCAGAACGGGCAACGTTGGTGCTTTTCAGTTGAGGCGTGGTGCGGCCTCGCCTGCCCGCTTCGGCTGTTCGGCTGGGGCCTGTCCTGCTAGTTCAGATGCAGTGGGCAAGCGTGACGAAGACCTTTGTCCGCATCTCAGTGCCCCCCGGGGATGCAAGTCAGCTATGACTTTGTCACAGCATCAGATACTGAAAATGAAACGTCTCTCTAGCTGTGGAGGAGTTCAAACAGTGCAGAGCACAGCACTCAGTGCAAGTAGCACGTTGCAGTGAGAGAACCAGAGACACACCATTACTTTTGGTCAGCAGTGTTTCCCTTGTGGTTCAGTGTGCTTTTGCGAAAGAATTGATGTTTTGTTCTGCTCTGTAGAGCAGTAAGCAAACCACATTCTTCATAGGTAATAAGACTGTGCCTGAGGTCATCTCAGGACTGAAACAAGCTGCGAAGTATAGGTGACTGGTTGTTTCCTGCCTCCCTCGCAGAATTGCCCTGTGCTCTGGGTCTTCACCCACCTCAGCCCAACAGAATCGCATTTGGCAACACCCAGGCAGAAAGTCCAAACTCCTCTTGGAAGGGCAATAAAAAGAAAAGGGACAAGAAGCGACAGTAAAAAAAAATACAGTTAAAAAATATAGGGACACCAGCTTCTATATTGTTCATCTTGGCCAGTGCTAGCTTCCAAAATGAATAGTTTTAAACAGGTTTGTAATGTTCTCAATACACTGCTTTGCACCAGCCTTTTTGAGCTATCCCTAGCTTCCCCTCCTCCTCGCTAAAGTTTTGTAACGTACTTTCTATAGAATATGATCTGTGTAAAACAAGTATAGCAGATGCTCTAATAAAGAGCCTCTTCAGTTCACATCTTTCAGTCATTTTTCCTTAAATGCAAATTGATCTCTAGGGGAAGATTGTGCTTGTTAGGATAGCTAAAGTGAAAATGTCTTATGTGCAATGACTGAAAGTTTTCAATACAGAATCAAAGGAGTAGTTTTGAGACTAAATCTTAGCAACATTGCTAAGATTCTATGTTTTTCACTGGTCTTTCTCCAGACTCCTGTCTGTTATCTTTCTGTTAATAATAAAGTGTATATTTGACCAGCTCCCAGGCTACTCTCTCTACTCTTCCTTGGCCTGTAGCACTCTTCAAAGTCATTCTGGCCTTTGAAAATGGCTCTCTTGCTGTGTGGGCTGTTACTTTAGTTTAAACTTTTAGAGGAAGTGAGGCTTTGTTTTCTGAAGGTGGGAAGTTACTGATTTTCATTGGAAAATGATGACTTTTGAAGAAAACCTTACCGGTAAACCTTATTTTTATCGTTTTTTTTTTCATAGACTGGAAGGATTGTAATGGAAAGCTGCATGGTCTCTTGAAAGCTGCCCTGGCAGACTGCTGATACAGCTAGGTTCTGTAAGTCTAGGATAAGTCTTCTATCCAACTCTGGATACGCTAGCTTCTGATATTCAGTATTCGTTTTGTAGGTGTGGGCTGACTGGGTGCTCTCAGGGCTTACAAACTAGTATTTCATCAGTGTGAGACTGGGACTTTCATATCTTCTGGTGCTCCCTGCTGTGTCAAACAAAGCGTCAGTGAAGCACCTGACGTAACTGGCCTGGAAGTGCTTCCATATACATTTCCTGGGCTATAAATGCTTCATTAGCTACAGCAGTACCTACAGTGTTACTGGTCAGGACATGAGCCTATGCGAGGAAAAACTATGATCTTGGGAGATGATTTTTAGATGTTCTAAACCAAGCTATAGCTGAGCCTTTGTTGCTCCTTCCTCCTGACCTCTGTGCACATCTGCAGCAGGCACTTCTGAGCCACTCCCAAATTATCCCAGGGCCTTGTCACCCCAGGAGAATGCAGTACTGCTGTAGAAGGATGTCTGTTCCTGCTGTTGTACAACACCTTGCACAGGGGAATTTTTATGATCATGACGAGTGGGATCATTGGACACTGCTAAAAGTGCAGAATAGCTCTATCCCACAGCATGAAAACAACTTGATAAATCACATTTGCTCTGAAAGATGCTGTGGTCCTCTTGATTAAGTTTGTTATCTTAAAGTGCCTGATATTTCATCCTAGAAATAATTTTTTATGCAAAAGTATGAGCCCAACTGCTGACATTTAATTTCAGCTAAGCCACACCTAGGAGTGGGATGATCACTGAAGGTGTCCTCCGTGGAATGTGTTACAAAGTAGAAAGAAGGGGATCATGACTGGTTTTCAAATGTAAGGAGCTGTACACATCTAAACCCAACATCTTGCGAGTGTGTTGGAGGTTAAAAAAAAAAAGTACAGTTTACCAAACATAATGGACCAAATTCCACTTTTGTAACAAAGGATATAGAATTATTTGCATTTAGTGAGTTCATTCCTATATGACACTTAGCAGGCTGGCTGCAGTCCAGAGCAGTGCTGAAATATTTTACTGGATCAAAGCCGGAACTCCAGCTGTTGGAAGGCTGAGAACAACAGGCACATCGTTGCCTCATTAAACTGATTCTGACCAGTATATTTGTCTTAAATTTGAATGCTTCCAAATTGACTGGTGCTCTTTTCAGATAGAAAACTAATAAGTTTTACTTATTAGTAAGTAAAACTTACTAATATATTTAATAGTCTCAAACTTAGATACAGTTTAAACCTATGCACATAGAGAACTCTAAAAAAGTCATTGAGAAAGCCTTTTCTGTTAAATAGGCACTTTAAAACACATTTCGTCCTCCTGAAGCTGCTCCGTGCTTGTGGAGCTAGCTTTATTATACAGAGATATAGCATCTCCCTTTAGAATTACATTAATAGAACTCCTTAGAATCAAAACCTGAGCTGTGGAAATAGAAAGGCCAATCCAAGATCAGGCTTCCTGTTTTCCCCCTGCTTTGTATCAGCTAATAAATAGCTACAGTTAATTTGAAAGGCTGCTTTTTTTTTTTCTAATTTTCTGTTTCATTAGGAGCTTTCTGCTTCATACATGCATTGAGTAAGACTTCCACAGTCAGAGGTGGCAGAGAATGCACATGCAGAAGTCTGAAAAACTAATGGTGCCTGGCATACTTTATTCTTCTGGGCATCTGCATTCCTTTTGACTGATGGCTTGACAAAAGCAGGTTATACAACTTTTTGAGAAGGCAGATGCAACTGAAGGACTACATGTATGCTTAATAATTTTTGGCAAAAAGCAGCATCTTCATACTGAATTATTAAACTATTTTCTGATGAATAGACTGCAGTATATCAGTGCAGGATGATTACCAAAGTAGTCCAATGCATTTTTTGTAGGTATTCTGAGCCAGAGTCTTTTTTAGTCATTGTGCAGTTATGAAAGCTAGCTGCACTCACTGCTTATGTCAATGTGTGCTGTAGTACAATTCAATCTGAGATATCACTAATGAATTTTACTTTTCTCAGATTAGTAATTCTTTAGGATATTAATTTAAAAAGTGCTATGATTGGTTGATTGATTGATCTATTCCTAGAGTAGTGCTCGATTTGATGGTCATGAACGTTATATTTTTTCCTTAATCTCTCCTGACTGCTCAGTTTTTCTGAGCTGGTTATTGTACTCGGTGTTACTAGAGCATTAGTCTCAAACCTGCAAATACCTACTTGTGTGAATGGGCTCCTTAATTTCAAGGAGTGGAAGGTGCTTACTAATGTGAGCAAGGTGTAAAACCTTGGGGTTTTGGTTTGGTTTGTTTTTCTTCAAATGCACTACTTTTAACAGTAAAAGATAGGAAACAGTCCACATAGGTCAAGGAATGGCAGGAGTTGAGCCTTTGTGCACACACCAAGCTTCACAGTAAGATTCAGACTATCTAGACCAGGACCCGCTTTGTCCCACAAAACACACAGGCTTTATAACTGTTGAAAACTGTTCTTTTCAGCAGGTACATCCAGCAGTTATTTTTCTCCTGCAGTTGACTTCTAAGATATTATTTCACCTCTAACCACCTGATTTCCATTCTCTGTCAGGAAAATAAAGTGTGAGTATTCTGGTTTGTAACTCAGCTGTAAATAGAAGAACAGTTGAAAGTTGAACTTCCAGAAGAAGCTGCTTTGGAAAAACCAAGATCTTGAACTGTCTTGGCCTATGCATTCTGCATTTTCACAGCTGCACTGATATTAAGTAAAAGCAGGTTTTTGTTGAAACTTGCTACCAGCTCATCCAAAATGATATGGCCCACAAAATTTCTCTCTAA